ATATATATATATATATATATATATATATATATATATATATATATATAAGAATCAAGAGACAGCCCCAACTGCCCCTCTCTCGCACGCACAGTTAAAAAGCAGAAGCATCATTTTATTTAAAAGCAAAAACACACCTTTGTTTACAAGCATATTAATATTATATATTAATTTAAGAATATATATTATGCTTTTGCTTAGAATACATGTAAATAGACTTATTTGTTTACACACAGAAGGGTCCATTTGATTGATGAAAAACAAATATTTCGTCTAGAAGTAAAAGCTTCTTTTTGTTTAAGAGCAGAAAGAAACATCCATTTGTCATGTAAAAACACAACCAAAACGCCCTTTTATTTAAAAGCAAAACCACCATTTTCTTAAAAGCAAAAAGACTCAATTGCTTATCAGAGAAGGCAATCTCGTTTAAAGGCAAAATCCCCCTTTCAATTAAACCCAGGAGTTCTGTGTGTAGCAAACATTTACTTGAAAAAGCGGACGGCATCAAACGCTCCGTCTTCGTCTGCTGTAGGATGTGCATGCCGGTTTAATATCGCAAGACAGCCCTCAAAGGAGTTACAAAGCAGCTCTGACTCGTGATATTTCAGCAGGCCCAAGGCCACCTGAAAGCAGTAAGCCTAAGCAGAAACAAACCCAAAAAACAAAGCAAAAAAAACATGCAAGATACGCCCCGCGGGTGTATATGGAGGGAGGAATATACAAGCATATACTCCCATGTAACAGAAGCCCTTTCCCTGTATAATCCAATCCAATCAAGAAGAAAGAAATGCATCAGCAAATATACAAAAAACGCACAACAAGCATCATATGCAATCTAAACAAAAAAACAAGAGCGGAAGCAAGGGCTAGCAGCACCATACCGCTGCAGGCTGTTTATTTGCAAATACATACATAGTAAATAATGCATATATAAGGATAATACATATATAATATACGCCGATAGAATTGTATACATACCATGCAGATATATATTATACTCAGCATATATAGATGCATATATTATTGTAGATATTTGGCTATATCCATATATTTATCCATATATACACATACACATCGAATACATTTACAAATATATGTACATATATTTGTCCGCAGATATATACATATATATACGTATGTTTATATATAATGCACTCCATTCATATATCTATACAATATATATATATATATATATACATATTGTATATAATATTTGTGTACTACAGACCTCTCCCATGAGAAGAAGTCCATCCCAGGTGCGGCATAGGGTGGAGAAGGGGAGAGCCCTGCAGAAAAGCGTCTCCATCCATCGAATGAGATAGAGATCAGGAATAACTTGCAGGCCCGCGAGGTGTCTGTACAGGTGGGGAAGGCGGAGGCGAAGCATCGATTCAAAGAAATCGAATTTCAATGCAATTGAACGCCGGTTGCATGGTAGTGCAGGACTGAAGAAATCCAATAAATGAAATGCAGGCAGCAAATTCGCAAGAGCAACAAACGCTAAGTCCAAAGGAAGAAAACACAATAACATCGACGCAAGGCAATCCATTCCCCTAACATAGCCCACATCAGGCCTGCAAACCAGAAAACGCAAAGCAAAATAAACAAAGCACTATCATTCAACATCAAACCAGAACAACCATTCAAAAGAAAACACGAAAATAACATACAAAAGAAAGCAAAGCAATAACAAGCAAAAAAAAACAAAAAACCAAACGAACACAGAAACAAGCACACGCACAACGAACTCAATACAAAACAAACACAACGAGCAGACCAGACGCAAACAAAGCAAACAAAAGCAAACAGAACAAGAGGAAGCAATAATATATCACGCATCCCGCTGTACACCCAGCAGCAGCAGCAGCAGCAGCATCTTCAGCAGCAGCCCGCATTAGTTCAACCAAGCAACGAAGCAGCAGCAAACCCCAACAAATTAAAAAACACAGGAGGAGAGAAAGATGCATGCGCGTTCTTGCATGAACATCCAGCATACACCTCAGGCATCTTCAGGCAGTTAGCAACCAAAGCATTTGGTGAGTTGCATTTAATTGCAATTAGCAACATTCGCCCCCCCCCTCCCTCCTGCTGCTGCTGGTGCTCTTCCAGCAACAAAAGAAGCAACAGCAGATGCAGCATTACCTGTACAACACATATGCCTCCAGCAGCGCTCGCACTCCCTCTGCTATGGTCATTAGTTCTCCTTCTTGCCAGCAATAACCACCCGCTGAACTTCCCCTGTACTGCTGCTGCTGATGGTGCTGCTGCTGCTGCTGCTGAGAGCAGCAATACGTCCCCCCTGCTTCTGAAGCAGAGAGAGGCACTGCGTCGGGCGAGCAGAAAGGCGCTGGAGAGAAATCAGTGATATTGCTGCTGCTGAGCTGCATCAAAACACCCCCTCGCCCAGGAGCAGCAGCAGCAGAAGCCCCAGCAACAGCAGGAGCAGCAGCAACACTGTCTGTGCATTGACGGCTGCTGTTGCTGCCTATAGGGGCTGCAGCTTCTGTTGCACAAACAGAGGAGCAGCCGCAAACTCCATCCGTCTCCTCCGAGCTGTTCCCTTGCAGGTCGTTAGTTGCTGCTAAAGGCACCCCTACTGCAGCAGCAGGCGCGCCTGCTTCACCTGCTGCTGCCGCCAATTGCTGCTGCTGCTGCTGCTGCACATTTCGCGGTTTGGGCATTGGGACAAAGGTGGAAAATGGTCTGTTGCTGCTGCTGGCTGCTGCTGCTGCCGCTGCTGCTGGCCCCACGGGGGAAGATGGATTCAAAGGGGGCCCCTGGAGAGCCGCAGCGCTTTCCTGGCCGGCACAGCAATCTACTTGTCTCCGCAGGGGAGAAGCAGCGTGCGCCGTTGCTGCTGCAGCTGCAGCAGCAGCAGAGGCGACCTCGTCTCTCAGTTCATCTAGGGAGGTGGTGAGCAGCAAGGGCCCCTCACCGATTTTTCTGTTCATCAGATACGGAATGCCTCGCATCGTTATTCGTCTCATCCCGTCCAGTGCGCTGCTACTGCGACTAAATGCTGGGCCTCCATTTGCACCCCCACACGAACTCCACGCATCTGCTGCTGCTGCTGGTGCTGTTGCGGGGTCCGTGGCTGCTGCTGCTGGTGCTGTTGCGGGGTCGGTTGCTGCTGTTGGAGGTTGGGGCGCCGTCGATGCGGCTACAGGAAGGGTAGTTGCAACAGCTTGTGCTGCGCCTGCTGCAGCAGGTGCAGCAGCAAGTCCAGCAGCAGATGCAGCGGCAGGTGCAGCAGCAGCGTCTTGGAAGTTGTCATTAGGAGGGGCGTTTCGGGGTGTATGGGGAGCATTAGCTGAGGAGTGGTTGCTGCTGGTTGGAGGGGAGGAGGCTGCATATTGGGGTGTGTTGTTCTGCATTTTCCTGATGTGCAGCAGCGCTTCCCGCAACGGTATTCCGATATTTTGTTCGTTTCCAAGGGCAATTAGCCAGAGTTTTCCCCTCAATTCTCCGGGCACACCACTCAACCAAAGACGAACAAATGCAGGGTGCGTTGCGGTGTCTGTACGCCTCCCTCTGTCTAAGCTGTAACGACCCACCCAGGTCGTACCGAGGTGGCTGAGATGTATGTACGCATTGGCTTCGGTTGCTACGGCACTCCCAACGAGATTCGTCTGCTGCATCAAAGCAGATAAACTGCTGTTGCTTTGTTGCTGAGCCCCCCATCCCCCTCCTGTCCTGCAGAAGCTGCTGCAGCCTTCTCTCCCTAATGCTGCTGCCCGTCTTTTCGCATTCGGCAGCTCGCTGCTGCTGCTGCGCCCTCCTCCCTCTTCCTCCGCAGCTGCAGCAGCAGCAGCATCTGCATCACATGCTGTTGCTGCTGCTGCAGCGGAGCGGCTTCTGTGTCTGCTGCAAACAGCAAAAGAGGGGTTGCAGCAAGCGCCAAAAGCAGCAGGCAACGATGCGAGCTTCTTCACCTGTCTAGAGGCTGCTCTTCCCAATGTAGCTGCAATGTCTCCTCCTCTCTGTGCGCCTCTGCGGATGCGGCGAAGGGAAACGATGCTGCTACGGTTCCAGGAGGCGCCAGTGAAGTTTTTTCGACTGAATTTGCTGCTGCTGCCTTTGTGGCTGCGGTTGAGGTGCCGCAGCACGACGGAGCGAGGCAGCCGCAGCAAAGACGAAGCACTTGAAGCAGCAAAAGCAACGAAAATAGCTAAGGGAGATGGCCGCACAGGAACTGCAACAGGCACAGCCTCGCATGACCAACTCGCCTCCCAGTGCGGCAGCACTTCATCTCTCCAGAGTTCGAAGTTTCGTGCTGCTGCTTCCTCGCGCCGCATGCGGCTTTCTTTCAGCAGCAGCTGTCGCTTGTGGTGACTCATTTCCTGCTGCTGCAGCAGCAGCCGCTGCTGACGCTGCTGCTGCTGCTGCGCCACCTTCTGGTGAAAGAAACCAATCCAACGGGTAAATGTTGAATTCGACAGATCCGCAGCAAAGAGGTCAAGGCGCCTCGAGACGAACTGTAGACTGACGCAGCGGGCTTCCATTTCGTCTGTCAATTCAAACTTCTTCGCCGTGCTGTACAGACACCCCACCGTAATGTCCACGAGTTCCTCCAGAGGCAACGAACTCGGCGCTTGCTTCGCGTTGTCATCTGCATTGCTGTTGGGGGGGCCCCACAGCAGCAGCATGTGGTCTGGGGACACCCGAATTAGCCGTCTCTTCATGCGGCCGTTGCGACATAGCTTCACAAATACGGAGCCTTCTATGAACAATGAAGTGTCCATACACTCCGCTACCTCCGCGCCGCTGCTGCCTTCCTCTCCCCCGCACAAACACGCTGAACCCTCAGAAGCAGAATGCGGATGAATAGCCAAAGACACCATTCTTGCGGCGCCTCCGCTGCTGCTGCTGCTGCTGCTGTTCCCGATGCCCCCCATAGCAGAGTCTATACCACTCCCTCCAGCAGCAGCAGCAGCGCCAGCACCCGCTGGACCGACACCGCCCCTGCTGCAGCTGCTGCTCCGCTGCTGCATGTGCTGCTGCAGCGTAGGAGAAGGACAGATCTCCGAAGGCCGAGAAAAAGGCGCTGGCAAATGCCGCAGCGCACGAGGGTCGTTCACCAGCCGGCTGTACACCTGAACAAACCCTCATCATCAACTCAAACGCCAAGATCCATAAGCTCTCAACCCTAAACCCTCATTACCTCCACGCATCTTTAACAAGCTCTAACGCACTACCTGCCTTCTAGTGCACTTGACCCTGCTGCACGAACCCACGAACCCTAAAGCCAAGTAAATGCTAACCAAACCCTACCAAACCCTACACTCTACTGTACCCTGTACCCTACTAAACCCTAAACCCTACTAAACCCTAAACCCCCTTCAACCTCGAACCCTACGCCCTCCACCCTCACCCTGTCAGTGTCCGTGATATTGAGTCTGAATTCATGTACAACAACTCGGTCGTACATACAGTCTACGACATTGTCTGGTAATTGTGCTCCTCCCGCTGCAACGATTTTTCTGAATTGTTCTTTGGTCATTTTGCGGCGGACTTTGGGGTTGTGGCGGTCAGTGTGCAGCATTAAAATGGCGTAAGCAAGGAAATGAACAGTGTCCAGGTCGAGCCCCAATTCCTTGTTGTCGCGTACGTACAGCCCAGCGAAACGGTACAGCAGTCTGTACACCTGCTGCGCCTCCCCTGGAGGCTGAAAGCGCGAGAGAAACTGCCGCAGCGCCTCGTCTATGGACAAACCGCGATAATCGCACAGAGAAGCAAAAGATTGAAGCACCAATATTGAAAAAGAACTGCAATCGCCCAGAACCTCCCCAACCTGCACGCACACGTGAATCACCAAACAAACACGCAAGCACTGACACCCCGACGAAAAACAAACAAACAAGCAAGCAAGCAAGCAAACAAACAAACAAACAAACAAACACACACACACACACACACACACACACACACACACACACACACACACACACGAGAAAGAACCCCGGCAGCGCACGAATGCATCATCATAAAGCAGTAGCAAACTGCTGCAGCAAACAGCAGCAGAAGCACAACACGCAGCAAACAGATACAACGGCATCAGCAGTCCATGTCAGCATGTGTCCGTCATAAGCCAGACAAGGCAGCAGCAGAAGCAGCAGCATCAGAAGCAACAGGAGCAGCAAGTAGCTGATACCTTTTTCTTATCGAGCCCCGGGGTATCATAAAGGAAACGCGCAACGGCAGCAGGATCTTGTGCCTCGATAAGTTTGCGTTCTCCCAGCAGCTGAAGCGCTGCATGCAGCCCTTCCTTATTGAACAACAGGACCGCTTTGTCTACAGATGCTTTTAAGTCTGCCTGCTTCCGCAGCTCCTGCATCATCTCACAGTGTGTGCCTCCCACACGCGAGACGCCCCCAGGGCCCCCCATGCGAGCGCCGCTGCCAGCTGTCCATACAGCGTAGCCGCCTACGTGCCACTTGTACAGACGAGAAGGGCACGGACTGCTGCTGCTGCTGCTGCTGCTACTGCTGCTGCTGTTGCTGGGCTGCGTATCGAGCTGCGGCGCCGCAGTTGTTCGCGCATGCAGAGAGTCAGTTGACAAACTCAACAAACGAGACCCAAAATGCCCGCTAGGCACCTCGGCAGGGCCCACAGCAGCAGCTGCAGGCCGCTCCATTGGTCCTGCTGCGGTTGCTGCTGCTGGTCCCGGCTCTGCTGCTGCTGTTGCTCTTGATGCTAGTTTTGGTTCTGCTTCTGTTGCTTCTTGTGTGCCTGCTGCTGCTCCAGCAGCCAAATCTGGCTTCTCTGATGCAGCTGCTGGTGCCGGAGACTCTACTGCTGGCAGGGGTGGCTGCGCCTCCTGTTGGTGCTGCTGGACTGTGCTGCTGCAGCTGTTGCTGCTGCAGCTGCTGCTGCCGTTGCTGGTAGGGGGCATTACTGCGTAAGTGTCTGCTCCTAAAGCAACCCGACAACTCGGGCCCTGCAGCACGCTAGAGGGGGCTGAGCCTCCACCGCCGTCTCCAGCACGTGCTGCAGCTGCTGCACCGGTTGCTACAGCTGCTGCAGCGGTTGCAGAAGCTGCTGCAAGTGTTGCTGCAGCTGTTCCCGGTACTTCTGCAGCAGCAATTGCTGCAGCGGGACCTTCAGCAGCTTCTGCTGTTGCCTCTGCTGTGGCTGCTGCTGCTTCTGCTGCTGCACGCTCAACCTCACCGGGCACCTTGGCCGAGGCGGGAGGCTCCTGCACGTGCGGACGGCTGCTGCTGGCAGCCTTTAGCTTTCCTTGCAGCCAAATGGGGGACCCAGTAACAACAGCGGCGGCACCGGCTGGTCCTTGTGCGCTTTCCACGCAAAGAGCTGCAGAAGGCGCTGTGCTCGCAGCGACGCTGGCAGGAACTGAGAATTGCCGTTCCTCGGGGCTTTCTGTGCGTCTGCTGGTGGAGCGGTTGCTGCTGCTGCTGCTGCTAGGCAGGCTGGGGACGCTTTTGCTGTTGCTCTCGTCCCCACTGCTGTCGCTCAAGCCGCTGCTGCAGCTGCTGAATTCGTCTTCGTTAGCTGCTGGAGAGCAGGGGACAGAAGTTGTGGCAGCAGCGTGCTGCGCAGCAGCTGCAACGAACAATCGGTCATATGGACTGGTAGACGTACAGTCCGACCTGGCTCCTGGGTACTCAGGGGAGCATCTCGCGCTGCAGCTGCAGTAGCTGCTGCAGCTTTCCCTCCCGCTGCTGCTGCTGCTGCTGCTGCTCCTGCTCCTGCTACACGTTGCCGCTGCCCTCTGCACGGCACGCGCTCGCCTCTCTGATATCGCTACAGCCCGATGGGGTATCATGGCCTTTTGCGTTGCATGCGAAGCTGAGCCTGAGTCCTCCTTTGCGGAATATGCAAGAAAACCCGGAAGTGCTGAAGGTGTCAGCGAGGAGAGGCTCCCTGGTCTCCGTAGCAGCCTAGAGGCGCTTTAAGGTTGGATACGCCGAATAAGATATCAAAAACAAGTGTAAAATGGCGCTTAAGCGCGCTTTAAATACTCCTGGCGCCCGTTCAAGAGGTGCAGTGGGAGAGGGTTGAGGAGAGCAAAGGAGTTGTGGGGCGGGCGCAAGTTTGGCTGTCCATACATCCCATTTCAGAAGTGGAGAAGGCTGATGTTGTGACTTTGGCAGATTGGTAGGAAAAAACGACAGAGACGATTCCCTTGTACAGCATAGCCCTGTGCCGGCGTCTGACGCCTCATGTCCCCTGGGGTGGACCTGAGGAACACGGGATTTCGAGAAGGCAGCGCATCAAAGAGAGAATCGAAAAGACGAAAAGGTGCGCCATTAAACCAGTTCGATCCGTCTGCCATCGATCGCTGCAAATCACAGAAGACATTCGCCAGAAACAGGGCGGCGCACCGAGGCGCCAGGGGTCCGTTAGGCGCCGGTGTCATTTGAACAGCAGAAAACGACGAAGAATTCGCAGCTTAATTGCTTTGTTGCTAATAAGAAGAATTATAAATGCAATCAACACTGTCTACAAGATACTTCTAACATTATTCTCCCAATTCACCAAGCGGTGCCCCTAGATGTTATATGTATCATTATACTGCAAACGCAGGGCGTTCTTGCACTTTGGAGTTGATGCAAAAAGGAACCAATTCATATACGACTTGATGCTGATTAAAATCTAGATTGTTTCAAATCATCTGCAACAATGGTATTTAGACAAGGAAGGACGCCATCGTCTGGTTTCCGCTAGTTTCCAGAAATGCAAATCCCGAGGAGGTCAAAAGGGTTCGCAAGAAGGAATGCACACATGAAACGAAGAATTAGCTTGGCTACCCCATTTAAATTAAATGCAAATGAGGAATTAACTCGATAAGTTAGTGCGCAATAAGGACTACATTCCTGTAGGGATTGGAATGAAAGGGATGGACGGGAAAGTGTTCAATGAGGATGCAGCTATGATTGGACTCTACTATGGTCTAAATGATTTGTAGGAAGATTTAAATGTTTAGTAGTATGATATTAATGGTTAGTAGTATAATTTGACTGAGTAGTACTATTAACATGATGAGGACGAATATAATGGTTTGAGGAACCTGGTGTGAGGAACCTGATTTAAATTATCAGGAAAAAGATTTACATGTAGCATGAGTTAACTGATTTGTACTATATAAATGCAGAAGATTCCAATCACCCAGCTTGCTGCATGCGCAGGTGAGGGCGCTAATATTATTTTGCAATGTAAGCCATCTTCTTCCCAGATATACCTGCAATAACTATCAGGGATGCAATGAGAATTAGCAGAAATAAGGACTAGCAGTATCGCCATACAAGATAGCAGCATTGCTGCATGATCTAGCAACAAAGCAATAATGATCGGTTGCGATACAATAAGTAATAGCAGTTCTCCCCGCCAGAGTCTGACGCTGCCTGCCGCACACTGAGTTGTTTTTCCACCGATTTTACCGCTACAATATTCGAAAACCTCCTGGTTTTCAGTGTCCCGTATTGCATTCATTTTCTCTTGTTTCACTCCGTTTGCTCTGACGTGGGGGACCCTGATGCTTCCTTTCCAGCGCTTGCAACACCAGACACGGGCTGCGTAAGGAAGCACAGTGTGTGTCGGTGATTAACACTTCAAACGATATATGATGCAAAGCTTCAAAATTACCTTCTGCTGTTGTTGTGGCAAATCCAGCATATAAAAACATATTGCATGCAGCATTAAAAGATGCTGCTTCCAGCGGAACTGTTATCAGCCAACCTTCATGAAGTGTACGCGACGAATCTGCAAACAGGTTTCAGTTGAACGTTCTGATTCGTTCGATTTGTTGCAGTTTTTCTCACCTTCTCCGTTTTTTCACTTACATTACTTCATGGCAGGCTTGTTCAGATGTCTTGCCTGGTGGTGTACTTGAATATAAACCTTGTTTTCCTGCTGCTGTCGTTGTTGACGCTACTGCGACCGCTGGATGTACGACCAGAAAACACCGCGGGTGAGTTTCCTCCTGTATCCCCTTAAAATAATTGCTTTAATTGCAATTAAATGGCTGGTTTAACCTTAATAACACTCTAGGAGATGTCAAGGGAATACTCGGAAGCTGGCGAGAGAAGGTGCAGCTGGTACGGCTAACACCGAAAATCTATTTTCAATCTCTTTCAATTCGCTTGAGCTCAATTTGCTGGCTTCAGCAATGCCCGGCTGGCTACGGGCTGCACATCATAGACTCATCGTAAGCCATAGGAAGAACGCCTGCAGTCCCCTGGATTTTTGCAGCAGCAGCAATATGCATTGCTCAATGCGTAATAACCACAACAGGTTCGGTAACCCCTTGCTGGCTGGAGGCACGATATACAAGAACAGGCGAGACGCACCGCACACGAAACTCGTAATACAGCAGCACTGCGAAAACCGAAACGCTTGCCAAGTGTGTTCAATACGATGGCATCCCTTGAAATCCCTTTGGTCATGTAAAATGTATACATGCAAATATACAGGAATATATATATGCGTATATATACTATCTAAGATAATACAACAACTGACAGCTCAAGAGATGTGATGAATAAATGGCATTCAGGTGCTTGTCGACCCGGAAACATTCGGAATACTAAAATCTGTCAGCTCAACGGAGCCCAAACTTGCCGTTACTTTTGCGTGTTTGCCATCGGCAGCGCAGAATGGATTTTACAAAGAAGGCAAGCAGAGAAAAATCAATAAGTAAAGGAACAACCGCTACACATCCCACGACAACAGGTGCAGAAGAGACATATCAAGCCACGCCCGTCACCCAGGGCGGGTGGAACATCATGATAAAGAGCGGTTTGCATTCATTATTAAAAGGATGCGATTTGAGCAGAGTAAAGCAACAGCTGCCCAAACAGAAAGCGAACCAGCTGACGTCACAGAGCTGCGGAAGTCCTACATGCATCTTGTAGACATGCAAGCCTTCATTTAAGCAATATCATGCCACTAAAAGCATATTTCTTCTGCAGAGATGCGGAGTGCGAGGAGCCTATGCAGGCTGACGGGCCGCTTCCCACTATCGAAGCTGCTGAAAACAGGTGCGGCTGCCGACGCATGGAGGCAAACAAGTCAGAAAAGAATACCCAATAAACCATCAAACAAATCCAGATGCTCCGAAAGCGAACACTGCACGTTCATAATTGCTCGGCCCCACCAAATTGTACTCTGCGCATCCAACACATACGTGAAACCACGAAGGGCTGCAGGAGCCGTGGTAAGCTGAATTGTTTTCTGTTCAACATGACGAGAAATGACACACTTAGACGTTTTGGCCCGTTACTATCGAAGATCTACGTTAAAGCGTTCAAAGGTTTGCACCGCTGCACCCCAGAGACGCCGCACTTTTCACCTTTTCTCGTTCCAGCTTTTGGATCCTCCACGCGCCTATTCAAGTTGCACCCGAGTCCGTCAGCGTAGGGATGATGCTATTATCTACAACTGCAATGCCCCCCATATTGTTTAGACGTCCAGAGCGTCTGTGAGCGGCATCAGTTGCTAGGTGAAGCAGAAAACGTCCGTAATGCGGAGTAGGCGAACCTCCCTCTTCATGACGTTTGCTACTTAGCTGTTTCAAGTTCAAATTCATGGCTGCGTGTCCTTCTACAGAGACGCCGCTGAGCACTGCGCTGCAGCAGGCTGCGACTTCTTTGTAATGTCCACTGTAACCACGTGCGTTTGTGCAGGCAGATCACGCAAAAGCAGCAATGTTATGTGAACCCTTTCTCTTCCTACGCTCTCAGGATTCCTGGTGCTTTGTCCGACTACGTCAATCACGTGTGGCTCTGCAAAGGCAGCCCGATCTACGTATGCCTTCCTTTTGTACCAAAATTAACACAGCTCAGTATATCACACCACCCGTGCTCCTGCAGATTCCTTTTGACGGATTCATCCTCGGTGAAAGGCGAGGAGCAAACTTCGCCGGTGAGGCATCGCCGTCCCCTCATGCTATTTCTTGTCTGCAACTACCCCCTGTGCCAACATGATATCAACTCAGATGTCAGAGGACATCTACAAAGCGGTGCAGTTGCTGGCTAGGCATGGTGGAATTCCCCCCTAAAAGCCACCCAGCGACTCTTTTCCGATTTCTTTCAACGCTGTACATATCGGCGAAATACCTAAGTTCCAAAAATTTAGGAAACATTAAATGAGCATCAACTCGAACGCTTCAAATGCTTTCGCTTCAGTTGACGCACAACAAATAATCAAAACATTTCGTCTGAAAATATTCGAGACAAAGTGCCCTTTAGACTCTACAAGGAAATATGTCTGGCACATTTCAGAGATGATGTGCCATTCGTCGCTGCTACTATATCGCCACCCCCAGCATAGTTCCACAAGCAGGCAGACGCCCTGCTCGTTGGAACCCATTGCAAAACGATGACAGAAACGGTCCACAATAGTCAGAGAATGAGCACAAACACAGGGGAGTGCATCAAAACATGAAGTATCAAATATTACAGCGGCACCGTGATAGTGGTGTGCTTCGAATTCGCTGTGGCTTCCTCTTCAGAGGGTTATGGAATGTGGGTGTTTTAGAAACAAACGGAATATCAACAAGGCTCCGCACTTCTATCTCCGTGAATGCAGTAAACGCGCACTGATGCAGCGATTAGAAAATAGGGAATGGCCACTTCAGCCCCTTCCCCTGGAAAGCTACAGACGAAGCCACGAGGCCCAAATACAGACGGAAACAGATGCCTCCCGCCAGAATTCGTCCACGGGTTTAGGGTTCAAGGCTTTGCTTTTGGTTCCCCAGCCTCGCTACGTAGCCGGTGCGTCACCTGCCCTTCGCGCATTTCGTGAGACGAGCTGCATGGAATTAGTACACCCTTTGGTGAGTGTTCTCCTTGCATTTCTTGTTGTGCATCCTGTTGCATATCTTGCTGCATCTGTTGTTGCTCCTTCGGGCTTTGACCTTCGTCTTCCTGCGCGGTGGCGCAGACAGTCCAGCGCACTGCCTGTCCACTGCCTGTAATCTCTGTCACAACTCGCAAGCCGTCCACTGAACGAGCGCTCAGGCCGTCCCACAAAATGGAATGGTGGGGCCCTCCCAACACACCTAAGCCGTCTGCAGTTTCCGCTAAGAGGAGAAAAACAACACAGGGACAGAAGCGCCGACAATTCACGAGAACCGCAGCATCTATACGTACGTACAGCGAAAGCAGAAAGTGTACAAAGGATCAGCAGCATGCCACAAGCAACGTCCCCTACCGTCCATCTCCTGAAGGCTCGTTAGACTCTGAGACCGGGTGGACCGCCGCCTGAACGCCGCCCGGCTTCTCCTCTTCTCGCCCAAGTCCAGCATCAGCTCGCTTTGCGATGTCTGTGCACCTTTGAGGCTGCATGCCATAAACAAAAACGAAAATGAGAGAATCCAATCCCAAGTCCCTCAGAGAAGCGCAAGGCCCCTCAGCAGGCAAAGCCATAATAGGATTCGTGCTGAGCCTTTCTTAGCACGCAAGCACACAAGCCGACCCCACAAAGGTAGCCTGCGCACTTCAATTCCAGGTGTAATTTGATTGGGTGATTCAGTGGCTGATGATGAAGGAGCAGACTTCACCGAGCTAAACAAACAGCCAGTCTGGCGTAAGTAAAGAGCAGGCCTTACCATGCTACATTATTTCCAAAGAAAGGCAAAGCCTTCGGCTTGAAAACCCTGCGGGTCCCCCCTCCTCTTCGTCTTTCCGCATAGCGTACGTCCACCGGGCGCAACGCAACGGAAGGCGGAGGACCTTTGGGAGTCAGGCTGCCGCCAACAGCAGGGGTCGATGCACCCGCATGCGAGCCAGCGGGACTCCACGTCTGAGGCGCAGCCGCCCCAAGTGTTTCCTTCTGCAGTCACAAGGATAAAAGCACAAGAAGAAAACAAATGATGAAAGAAACAACCATCCCTGCAACGGGAAACAATACCTCTCCTTTCAACCCGTGTCAGCATGCCGATCTAAGAATGCACCAAAACCGAATCTCGAAACGAAGGAAATATCAGTTACTACTACTTTTATTGGTAATCTACGAACAACAGAGAAGATAGGGAAAATACGAAGCAGCATTAGCCACGGATCTGCACCGTTATGCCTCGCTCCACGCATCGTTCGGTGGCTTCTTTCTGATTCAGCAGTCGCGGGTTGCTCTCCATCTGTTACTCACGGAAGTATCTCCTAATGCCATTCTCCTGTTGGCCCAGAAAACCGCATCGGGAATCGAAAGAAAGCAGTGTTCAGGAGGCAAGACATCATAGAAAGCGGCCTTTTGCAGGAAGTCCCTCATGGGCCCTTTCCAGTTGGCAAACAGTAGCAGAACACCCCTCTCCCCCAAAGTCTTCACTAGCCGCTCCAACATGCGGATAGCCGTCACATCCAAGTCGTTAATAGATGAGCCATCAACTATCATCACACGTGTTGAAGGCAGCAAAGAGTGCAGCACTCGAGACTCAAAGAAATCGCTATTGCTGAAATTCAATGACGCGTCAAAACGCAATATGCGGATGCCTACAACACAAATCACGAAGACCAAAGTGAACGGCAGCAATCACTCAGGTGCGCAGACACTTCAAACAGGGCTCAACCAAAACGGTAAACCATCCAACCAATCGTTCATTTGAAGAACAAGAACAGGAACGCCGTTCTTAAAAAAGCGGAAGCGGCAGGTCACCGAATGGAGGGGAGCGTGATGTACATGATGATGCGCGCCGTTTGTTGAACAGTTTTGGGTTTAGAGTGTGGAGTATAGGGTTTGATTACCTTCTTCCTCCACTGCCATAGGGAAACGTTTGATGTTTCTGTAGATGAAGGTCTTGGGAAGTTTTCCAAGGATCGCACAGGCCGGTCTTGCTGTCTTTCGCAGCAGCCACAGGAGCGACAGAAGAATGGAGGCGAGAATGCCCTCCATAGCGCCGAAGATGATTGTAATCAGAAAGCATACCAGCCACAGCAGCACATCCAATCCCCCTGCATCACAAGAAGCAGAAATAGATGCAAGAACAGAAGCAGCTTGCAGACCGCAGGTGACTGAATCACTGCATCCGTTGCAGATAAGCAGAATCCATACAAAAAGGAAGCGCCTACCGATCTTCGCCAAACGAACGCACTCCTTGAAGTCCAGCATTCCGTACACCCCAAACAAAACAACAGCCGCGAGTACGGCATTAGGCAGAGCGTAGAGCAGCGGCGTCATAAAGGACAGTGTAAAAACCAACACCAAGGCGTTGGATATTTGATGCAATTGCGTCAAACCCCCAGTAGAAGCAACGACGCAAGTACGAGACAGAGACGTCGCGTTAGGGAAACACTGGAAGCAGGAACCAACGAAGTTGCAGGCGCCTAAGGCCACCAACTCCTGGTCCGGCCGAATGCTATACGTCTGCATCAAAATAACAGAAATAAACCGAGTCCAAAATAGCGAGCTAAAATAGGTAAGTAAGTCATTGAACAAACACAAATAAGCGAGAAGTACACATGCTCAGGCCCTCCCCCCCGTGATAAAAAAAGTGCATGCATGCATGCATGAAAACATAATACATACATACATATATACGAACACAAGCACAAGCATAATATATATTTATACCCTTGTGTACCATGCAATGCACACAACCTCCGCACGTGCAGCACGAGCCACACACCGCACATACACAGCAAACTCGCAGCTTCCGTTCCGTCTATGTTTTCGATCTCTCCTTCCTACATAATTAATCTCTCTAACTTAACTTTGGAGGTCCTAATGCAATGAGGTGTGTGTACAGCTTAAGCCACGCTTCACCTTCTTCTGCTGGGTGATTGTCTTGGCAATAGAAATGTGAATGACGAAAAACATAGCAGTTAAAGCTAATGCCTCCCGTAGCATCATCAAGCAAACATTCCGTTGCACCACCACAGGGTCGCCGCCCTCAGCTGCACACACCAAACCAGAACACCTGCAGCAAACCAAGGAACCCATAAAAACCAATCTGCACAACTCATCAGCAATACCCTGGCTGGTCTGAACTGCCTATATATATAATATATATGTATATATATATATATATATATGTACGTACACATAGGACTCAGTGTGGGTCTCAGTGTGCACGCAAGTGGGCAGATATAGCAGATCCAACACTGAAAACATTGAAACATAACAGCTCACTGATAACAGCAAACGATGTCGAAAACCGGGGGAGAGCAGGAGAGGGAAAGCCTCTAGGGATGGTCCCTATTACTTTCACCCCCGCCGACGCCTCCAAGCCCAGTCCAGCAGACAAAGCCGTGAAAATAATAACTACTAGCAGCGGGGCCGGCAAAGGAATGCACTTGAAGTACCTGCAGGAGGTGGACATACACCTAAGCCACGGAGACTGCCGCTGCACAGCAGCCTCAGCTGCAGCAGCATGCGCACGAGAGCCAGCCACGCCCTGCCAGCTGCTGTCAGCAGGCAACGGGGGCGCCGCAGACAAAAGCCCGGCATATGAGCTTTAGGTGCTGCTAGGGGAGGGGTACTGCACATACCGCTTGTTCAGCACTTTGCAGACAGCGAGGATGCAGAGGGAAGCCACGCAAATGCCGACGGAAACCCAATTAGCTTCTTGAATATGGGTGGCGCAGTACCACCACTGTCTGCGCACCGCACGCACGCACGCCATTCATCAGCATTCTAAACCCTGACAGCCGCACCCAGCGGGCGGTGCACTGCCAGGACGCTAGAGCTGCGAAACCCTCCACCGTTGCCGTCTGTCTCTCTACCTCAGCAACTTGAAGTCAGCGTCCTCTACCGCAGCAGGAATGCTGAGGCCCAGGGCATGTTTAAGCTGCGAGGTGCCGATGAGGAAGGCGCTGGCGGTAGAGAAGCCGGAGAGAACCGGGACTGCCAGGAGATCTGCAAGCAGCCCGGCTTGTAGGATCCGCATCAGGAGAAACACAAGACCCACGCAGACAGACATGCCCACAGATATCGCCATCCTGTTGTCGTGCAGCAAAGATGCATTCAAATCTGCTGTCTCCTCTAACACCGCACGCGCTTCCGCCGATGTCTTCGAGTCCACAGCCAACGCCCGAGCCAAAGCGATGTCCTCCAACCGCTCCCTCTCACCTATTATGCGCGTCACTGACTCCCCCAGCAAAAGATCTTCAATTGCAGAAACCCCAACAGCCACATGCCGGCCAGTCCCAAACACCATGTACACCAGAGGATACACGAAATTCACATACAACCCCATCTGCGGGGGCAGACGCGCTAACATCGCGTAAGACATCCCCTGCGGTATCGCCATCACTCCTAAAGAGACACGACGAAACGCCAACAACACAACCACAAAAACCCTTACTTGCACAAACCCCCCAGTCCTCGCACAGATAGATTCAAATAGCGCAGCGTTAACACAGAAGCGGCAGCTGCTACAAAGACAGCACCTGCCACAAACAAAAACAGCTGCTGCTAGAGACAAAAAGATAGGATAATCATGAGCAGGTGGTTCGCGCAATATCCGGCATCGGCCCTCCACCGCCTCCTCACTACAGCGCCCCCACGTCTTTACGCCTCAATGTAGAAAGCGCACCTTCTGATATTCCTGCAAAAACATCCGGCAGCAGATAACTCCATTTATACGTCCGCAGCACTCCTTGTAGCGGAACGACAGATAGAATGCATCCGATAATAGAGAAACGGCGGGCCTTTCCCCAAAGCCGTCTAAGAGGGCTGTTTTTCTCCTCCGGACTCGAAAAATCCTAAAAGAGGCACACGACACCAGGACACGCCGGTTCAGAGCAACGAAGGGCAGCGCAGATACTTGAATCAACACGACTGCTGCTGCAGCTGCAGCAGACGACTATTCTAAAAGGAAACTATGCAGAAGTGAAGTTTTTCTGGAGATACCAAAACGAGCAATACCAGTCGAGCGTACACGATGGATGTCATCCTCGGTCATCGTCTTTCGCTGGGTAGGGCTTTCAGCGGAAGTCTGTGCCACGCGACAACTGCGGAAAAAACAAACCATATCCCAATCCTTGTGCCTGCAATATGTATTTTAGCGCTCTTTAGGCCGTAATATCTGCATTAATCCGCATGTGCACTGAAAACCACGGGAAGTGAGGAGGTTTTAGGCCCGGACATACACCGGAAATTCGATGGCTGAATTACTGCTGCAAAACATCCTAAATCCTGCGATTATCAGCAAAAACCAGCAAGGCAAATTTAAAAAGCCCGTACTCAATGGAGATCGTAGCACTGTCCGCCTCGTTTTTCCTTCGTTGCTGCTTCATCTCCACGCCTCCCGACCCCCCTGGATGGTTCAGATTCGCGACCTCTGGGCGCTCCTTCCTGTCCTTTTTGCTGGAAAACCACCGGCGCCACCAAACAAATCCGTTGTAATTACCTGCGCTACCATGGTGGTCATCATGAATGGAGGCAAATGAGTCAGCCTGTCGCATCGTGCAGCCGCGGCGGTTCGTGTGCAGATTCAGAGAAAAAGACAGGTTATAAAGGCATAAACGCAAGACCTGCCCCAGATAATGCTTATAGTTGTCACGAAAGTTCAAATAACTAATTATTTAAATATTCATAGCTACTGCGGACAGTGGTTTCAATTGGCACGGAATCCGCCAGTGGGAATAGCCCATTTCACAGAATGAGGGTTTCAAAGGAGTTTGTACTCCCTCCTCCCCCTCTATGCAACTAAAACAATGCTTGAATTAAACTGAGCAGCAAAAGGTGTGGGAAAAAGCGGCGGGAGAACAGCAGTGCGACACAAGCTGCAGAGGCGAATCCAGCGCCCGCAGCGTCGCCACCCGAGGCAGCCAGCAGCCAGCAATAAGCCTTCCAAAAAGCCTCTTAAAGATCTTCGTTTGATATTTTACACGAAGGCGAAACGCACACGCGTCGCGAGAAGCGAGAAGGCCAATGGAGGAAACGGCGCTCCGAAGGAGCGGCGCAAGTTCAGCGCAAAAGTCCGTCAACTGAGGCAGTCAATAATTTCGTGGACGCATTTTAAACAAGATTCATGCAACTAAAAACTCAAGGTTGAATGTTACAACGGAAGAAAGTGATATATTCAAAGTCAGCCACGCACAGTTCTTCGCCGTCGTGCCCTCCCGCCATCCTGCTCTTCTCAGCATGCAGCTGTTGGCTTGTCTCGGCCGTCTCCCGATGACTGGGGCTTTACCAATTAGAAAGCAAGTTCACATCTAAATTAGTAAGTTCTAATTTGGTTCATTTGGTCATGCCTGCCCATGGAATGCCCTCGCAGACACCACACACTGGTGAAACCTGCTCGTTCTCGCCGGAAGCGGTCGAACGGCGACCAGCGGCCTACAAGGGGGGGAGAGCGCACCTTCAGTGCATTGATTCTCATTTCGTCTCTTCTCCTTTCTTTTTGCTGTCAATATCATTTTTCTTCGGGCGTTCCCTTTCTCTAGAGAGTGGCCTACCCCCTGCCCTCCCTACATGTTCACAGGGGAAAGTCTTCCTAACCACCGGATGTGTGGTTTTCTCTTCGAAATAACTTGCGATTTGGAGACGTTCCGTCGCATAATTTGTATTGTAGAGTAAGGAAAGTTATTCGTCAAGACCGGCTGAGCCCTGTGCCAACCCTGCCCACTGGCGAACCCAGGCGTTCGGTACGCATTTCAGAGGACAAACAAACCTAATCTGTGAACCCTACACTCTTAAGGCGTTTTCTCGTTTACAGTTTGTGAATTCCGCACAAAGCGGACTGAGCATCAGTCATGCTCCCGCCCACATGAACAGGTTCAGCAGCACCTCCAAAATGGAAGACGCTCAGCAATGTCTCGGGTGTCACGATCACTACTCGAACCTAGTCACCAATAGAATTGTTTCTACGTCAGGGGGGCATAAACCTTAAACAGTTACAGTCGGTGGCTTTTGCTTCCTCTACTTACACTTGAGCCCCTACTCAAGCACGCACCCCAGCGCTTTCTCTTACGCCTGGAGCATGCATGAAGTGTTATGGCGAAGGCTCATAGAGACCTCAAAAGCAGGAAACAGCAAAGCTTCTCTCTCCAAAGATAACCTCCGTTGCTGCAGCTTTGCAGCTCTAACTACACTTAAGCAGCTGCTGCTCAGGAGGAGCAGCAGCTGTCGCCTTCGTGCAGCTATCCCAAAATAACCGCATTCGCTGCAGCTACCAATGGAGTAGCGAGAACAAATGTTGCTGCTGCTGCCGTAAGATTCCCTCATGGTTTCATGCCTCCGTCAGCTCTAATTTTGGAGGCTGCGGTGCTGCTGCTGCTGCTGCTGCTGCTGCTGCTGTCTGGCGAACTCTTCTGCCTGTCCTTGAGCTGTGGTGAGCAGATGTCGCACGGTCGCCTGAGCTGAACTCGGAATATTCCGCATGTTGAAGAGCTGCGGCAGCCGTGCTGCCAGTTGTATGTGGTGTGGCACCTGCTGCTGCTGTTGTTGCTGCAGCTGCGGCTGTGCGGGCACCTCCTGCTGCTGCGGCAACTGTTGTTGCTGTGGAATCTGCTGCTGCTGCACCTGTGGCTGCTGCGCCCCACCATGCCACGAACGGGGAGTAGCAGGGCTGCTGTTGTCTGCTGCCCCGGGCACTAGGGTGTTTAGAAACCATGGAGCGCCGATGGACTGAACTGCTGTTTGCTGTTGCTGCTGCTGTTGCTGCAGCAGAAGCCGATGCCGCTGCAACGCCGAGAAACTGTTCTGCTGCAGCAGCAGTAGCTGACCCTGTTGATGTTCCAGCTGTAGCTTGTGTTGCTGCTGCTGCTGTCGAAGAAGGGCCTCCCGCTGCCGCAGCAAGATTTCCTGCTGGCATCTCTGCTGCAGCGCCAAAAGCCCCTGTTCAGTGATAAAGGGCTGTTGTTGCTGTTGCTGCTGGTGGTACTGCAGCTGTTGCTGCTGCTGCTGTTGCTGCAGCAGCTGCTGCTGTTGCTGCTTTTGCATCTGCTGCTCCTCCTGTAACTGTGAGCTACCCTCTGCCGTTGCTGCCTGCGATTCATTCCCTCCCTGATCTGCCTGGGTGTAGTTTGCTGGCATTGCTGCTGCTCCTGCACCAGCCTTCTTCAGCGGGGCAGCGTCATCTGCCGTAGGAGCTGCACCAACAGTTGCAGCTGGAGGAACAGCTGCAGCCGCAGCAGCAGCAGCAGACTCTGCTGCAACTGCAGGTGTTGATGCTGCATGGGATTGCCCTGCGTCTGGCTTAACCCCATCAGCTGACCAATCTATTTCTTCTAGAAGGGCTGCTGCCTCTGATGCGAAGCCCAAGGGCATATCTTGTGCCGTCTCCCCGCTACTGCGGCTGCTACTGCGGCTACTGTTGCTTAGGGCACCGGAAGCAACAGCACCGCTTGAAGCGAGGGCAGGTGCACACATACTTGAGTCACCACCGCCCCGACCTTTGCTGCTGTTGCTGCTACTACTGCTATTGCTGCCTTGAGAACCCGTGCTGCTACCGCCGCTATCACTGCAGCTGCTGCTGCTGGTTGCATGCTGTGCGGAAGTCCCTTCACGGGCAGCAACAGCGTCACTGAGACTCTCAGATGCCCTCTGGGCAGCCCCGTCCTCACGAGGGGCCTTTGGAAACAACGCCTGCTGCGGCTGCTGCTGCTGCGATGGCTGCAGCTGCGTTGGCTGTTGTTGCGGTGGCTGCTGTTGAGAGGACCGCTGCCACTGTTGCTGCTGTTGCGATGGCTTCTGCCGTTGCTTCTCCTCCTCATCGGTGTCTGAATCCAATGCAATTGGAGCATTAACCTCCCCTCCACCACCGTCAGACTTCTGATGCTGCAGCTGCTGCTGCTGCGACTGCGTTGCCTGCTGCAGCTGCTGCTGACACTGCGTTGGCTGTTGCTGGGACTCCGGCAGCAGCTGAGACTGCGATGGGTGCTGCTGCTGCTGCTGAGAATGCTGCGACGACTGTAGTTGCTCATTTGAAGTATGACGCTCCCTGTCGCCCGTGGGGCCGTTACTAGCAGAAGTACTGGCTCCACTCTGTTGCTGCTGGTGCGACTGCTCATCATCGGATGAGTCTGACAGACAAAAAACTTCCCTCTGCTGGTTGCTGGCACTTCCCGGAGAAGGATCCAAACGCCGCTGCCTCTTTGTAAGAGGCCCGTCTTCTGAAAAGCAACCCCAAACCCTAAACCCTCGACCCTACACCCCAAACCCTAGCCCATTAACGTAGAGCAGGACCAAAGCGCTGCTGCCTTCAGCACTCAAAGTAACCAAAAGACCAAGCAACAGCAGCAAACCTTGCTGCTCCCGCTAAGCTCACCTTCCTCGTCTGACGCTCCACTGCTGCTGTTGCTACTGCTGCTACCGGAAGCAGCAGGGGGCCTCCGTGGAAACCCTGCAGCAGCGACTTCGCGAGGAGCGCCAGCGGAATCCTGGCATGGTGCAGCAGCCTCTCCCGATGCTGCAGCTGCTGCTGCCGATCCTGCAGCTGCTGCGGCGGCTGGTGCGTCTTCGGCTTCGCTGTCGCTGACTGCATTAGACGCACAAGACGGACGCAAAGGAGACAACAGCAAAAAGGATTGTGCTTGCTATCAAATGCGTTCTTCTACAGAGCAGACATAAAGGCACGCAAGGCATCACTGGCCTACACAGCCCAGGGGCACAGGTAAAGGGTATAGGGTTTAGGGAGGGACCGACGCATGTCGACGACTTCAAATCCCACTTTCCCAGTTGCTTCCGCCTCCTGCATCCCAACGAAGCACAAGAAGGGCCTACCCGCCATAAAAGACCCTAAACCCACAGCCATAAACCGTAAGCCCTAAGCCCTAAACCCTATAGCCCGACCTCTCCCTTGGGCTTGAGGAGAGCCTCGGCCGCGAGTTGCCTCTGCTGTTCCGCTCTCTTTGACTCCGCCTTCAGTTCTTCATCAGATAAAACCCTAAAAGACAAATCCTGAAGCAACGCGCAGCACAAAACAGAGTCCGTTTGTCGTTTTGTCCGTTCAGGCATGCCTTGCTCAATCCTAAATCCTCAAGTGTACCCTGCGCGTGACTGCATGACACAAGACGAGAAAAACAGCCACAACGGGAAAAAGACGGGCCACACGACAAGCAAAAGCACGCCAAGCCGAGACAATCCCTAAACTCTAAACCCTAAACCGCAGGCTCCGACCTTTGCCCTTATACCGTGAACCCTAGAGTATAGACTACCTATAGTCTATCCTCTAAACCCTATGTCCTAGACCCCACGGTTTAACTAACCGCCTGGAGCTCCACTTCGATGTCTTCTTCTTTGGTTTGCGCCAGAAGTAGCTGAAAAAAGCCGTCGACCTGCAAGTCAGAGGGGAGGACCGTTAGGTGGCACTGGGGGCATCTCCAGCGGCTGTTGAACGCCTTGGTGCTTCGAGAGACCAACAGATATCCGCTTAGATCATAGCACTGAAGATGGAGGCAAAAGCGACCTCGGCATGGGATTTCAATCCTTCAAAACGACCAACGCACACGCTGACCGCGCAAAAAAACAAATCCTCAGCAACCACAAAAGCGAACCGCATTCAAGGCGCCTCAGCCGACGCAGAGGGTTCAGGGCTAGACGGCGCCGACTAGGATTCAGGATTTCTGCGAATGTGCGAAAAAACTGGCTAACTAGCATCGACGGTTCAAGGGTTTTCCAGGTTAGGAGTTCAGGGTTTACCTGGTGAAGGTAACGGGGCAGGTCAGTTTCAGCCTCCTCCCCACCTCGAGGCACTGCACTTCTTCGTCGCTGTCTACGTCCTCCTGCTGCTTCTGCTCCTGCTTCTGCTGCTGTTCCTGCTTTTGCTGCTGTCCCTGTAGCAGCCGCTGCACGCGCTCTTTCGCCGCATCTAGAGGAAGGGTGTGTTGTTGGACAACAGAGGCCTACGCGCACAATACGCAGGAAAACCATCGAACTAGAAGACAAAACAAAGACAAACAGCACCTCCCCCTGCAATCGCTGCTGGGCTACAGTTTACGGTATAGGACTTGGCACGTTGGCAGAGCTGCAGCTATCCACGAGTAGACGCAGAGACTAGCCTCTGTAGTGTATGTGTTGTAGGCTTATTCTCCAGAAACAGGGCCTAGCGATTAGAATGCCCACACCAAAAACCTAGAGTGTAGGGACTGGGGCACCTAGGCTAAAGCAATGGGGTCTACAGTTTAGGGCTTAGGTTCTGAAACATTATTGTTTAATGTTCAGGGCTTAGGGTCTGCGGCACCTCCAAGGCCTCTGGCGTTTTGGTGTCCACCAAGAGAAGGGCAATGAAAAACAACTTGGGATCGGGCGTAAAGTTCGTTGTTTTTACCTCAACTTGGTTAAGCCCACTTCTCAAGTACTGCGTTATCTGCAGCGCACCCAATACAAACCCCAAACCCCAAGCATTAAACCACAAAGCCCAAATCCCAACCCCTCCCTACGCACCGTCACTCGCACACCTCTACAAAACGCGCTAGCACTTAGGGTTAAGGGTTTAGAGTTTAGGCCGTACTACAATTGGCGTGTCTCGCCTCTTGTGTTCCCAGGATGGCGCAGCGACGCTCTCTTCCAGCTGCAGCAGCCGATGCAGCCAGAGGAGCACAGCAGGAGAAAATGAGCAGCAAAAGAACAGCAGCATGTACCTGCTGCAGCAGCTGAGCAGACGCCGAGTTAGTGAGGGAGGGCGTTGCCCGTTTAGGAAGTGGGTATTCGCTGGCGCCGGTGGTTCAGGGTAGGGTTTAGGATTTGTGTTGTACGCACACGACCGTTGACAAAGACCTCGACGGTGCGCGGCCACGTTTGTATGTGTTTTGGGGTTTGGGCCTGGCAGCAGCGGATAACGATTTCCTTTCCCTGAGCCCTCCAGCCTTTGATATCTGTGGCGTCTAGCGAGACAGCCAACGAATCTTCTAGAGGAGACAGCGCGAAAACCTGCGCCTGTCCGTACAGCCGAACCACACACAATCTCGCACATCTTTTCATTCCGTCCTGATGAACGAACGCAGCAATACGACTGCAACAAGCACACTGACAAAGCCCTTTAGCCGTAAGCACACCTTAACTCACCGGCGGGTAAAACGGGTCCATCAACTTCAAATGACAAGCCCCACAAATGAAGTCCGCCGGGTTTCTGTCCTCCGAAAGGCCGTAGCATACGCGATGCTGCAACAACATGCAGCGCAGCAGCATCAGCAGCAGCGCAGACACCTCTTTGTTGGTTGAGTCCCGTTGATTCTTCAACAAAGAACAAGCATCTAAACAGCCCTCAATCCGCGCCTCAAACGAACACCCCACGACCAACGCAAACGTACGCAGAGACGGCCCCATCCCCAGCCCTCCCCCCGCCATCAACAGGTAATTAGATGACGACAAAGTATATTAATAAAACGGCACAAAAAACCGAAGCAAAAACTCACGCAGCGAGCGCCGCAGACAGCACAGCCTATCAGCGGCTGCTGCTGCTGCAGCAGCTGCTGCTGCTGCTGAGGAGACAGTCGGTCTCCGCAAATGCACTCCTTCCCTGTAGCACAAGCGCCGCCTGAGGTCAACCCACGCACTAGCCATGATCCAGTTAATTCCTGCTGGTGTTGCTACTTCTGCAACTGCCGCTGCTACTGCTGCTGCTCCTGTATCTTACGGGTGTGTGAAGAAGCCAAGGCATTCCGGGGTCTCTGGGGCCCTGAGTAGTGCCGGGTGGCTGCCTGGCTAGCTGCCTGGCTAGCTGGTTGGCTAGGTGGAAGGACCCCTCCATGTCGCTGTTCCTGCTGCACATTCTGATGCTGCTGTAGGTGTTGATGTTGCAGATGCTGGTGCTGCTGCAACAAGAGCTGTTGGTGCTGCTGATACTGAAGAAAGTGGTGCTTTGCCCTCTGATGATAATTAGCAGCGGAAGGCTCTTCCATGGGTCCGCCGGGCTGTATGTACACCTGGCGGGGGCTCACATGCTGCTGCTGCTGCTGCTGCCGCAGTGGAGGCTGCGGATGTCGTTGTCTTTGGAGTGGCCGCCTGTGGAGTACTTCAGGTGGCAGAGGCCCTCGGGTTCTGCAGCAAAGCCGCGAAAGGAGATAGTGTTAAGGGAGTAGGGGTGCTGTGAATTCACAAGGGAGAATGGTTTGCAGGAGGAGGTGCAACACCTTTCCTCCCAACCACGAAAGCCTAATTTCTGGAAGTCAATAAGCACGGAACCTCCGGCTGAGTGTACATAGCCGTGTCGGGGGTTGAGAATTTAGGTTTTGGGGTTTAGGGTTTGTCTACTTTTCAAAAGCCATCAGTCGGCTGACGAGATCCTTCTTCAGGCCCTTCACCGGGAGACCCAAAGCGCGGCAGGCGGCACTCAATTCCGCCACAGTGTGGCAGTGCAGCCTGTACAAAATCATACATCCTAAACCCTAAACACTAAAACCCAGACCGTAGCTCTGCGCTTCACAGCCTAAACCCTGAACCTAACCCCTCAGCTGTAAACAACAACAAGAGGTACGGGAAACTCGGCCTTTGAAGCAAGCAATGTGACGGTTTAGGGCTTCAGGTTTGGGGTTTAGGCTCGCTTGGTATTGGCTCCGCTCACTCTTCGAGGGTTCTCATGGCTGCACTGCACGACTTGTTGTCCACTGCTCCACTCCCATCTCGCCCGGAAAAACCTTAACCGTAAACCTTAATCCCTTAACCCTACACCCTACGGTTATCAGGTGGCTATCGCCTACTTCGGACTGATAGGGTTTGGGGTTTAGGGTTTGAGGTTTAACGTTAGCGATATACGTCTAAGGCCTGTGGCACTGGCGAGAACCGTAGCCACCAAGAATCATGAATGTGAGAATGAAAGCCAATAGCCGCTTAGCATTCGGGTGCGGCGTATGGGGTTTGGCGCCCCCTACTACAGCACCTGACGTGCGCTCATCAATGGCGACGAAAATAAAAGCGAAGCTAAAGATACCGTAATGTGTATATACACTGCACGGCTATCTCCTGTGTTGGTAGTTTATTGGTTTATCGCATATAAGGGGGAAGGAAAGACAAAGAAAGCAAGGAGGGCCGCGCAAGGAGACGCGGGAAGTTAGGGGCCGCCCGCAGCAAAGGTGGGGTGTACGTACACCTCCTATGAAGCAAAACAATCTTATTCCCAAAAGAAACCTTTTTCCAGCATTTGTACAAAAATCAGGGGGCCCCTCAAGCGGGGGCCCCGGCTACTCAGCTGAACCCTTCTGCTGCATGCGCCGCTGCCAGCCCCAGGTGGGGGCCCTGTATCGGCGATCGTGATGTTTTACTCTCCCAAGTTCATAAAAAGCCAGAATTAACGTCGAAATGGAAAAAGGCATAAATTTTCAGCATTAGGGACGTCATCGGGAGGGAAGTAGAACGCTGAGTCTTCAATACACCGCACAAGTTGCACTGTGTTACCAATCGCCAAACTGATTCCTAACTAGTGTGAAAGGCGCAGAGAGGAAAGCATTCTTTTATATGGATCAAACGTTCTATATCAAGGTAATTGACTTATGCCCCCTCTAGACTTCGTGATTACGGGTATGTTTGCCGATTGTGGAGTGTTGTGTGGGGAGTCCTCGATCCGGGTACCATCGGTCACAATACTTAAAATAATCGTTTCTTGAAGCAGCGAAGCTCACGTGCGGTGCCAAGGCACTTTAGGAGCTGGTGCGTGTATCTCAAAGTGTTTGCACGCTGTCTGTCGAGGGCCAAGAGTTGGCGGCCTTCGACAGTCATGCAGCAAAAAAGCCTTGGAAGTGTTTGAACGTGCGGATGCCTTGCTGCATTAACTGTAGCAGGCTGTGAGGAGAACAGCAGGCCGGCAGTGAAGTGCAAAGCAGCCCACAGCAGGCTGGCTCCCTTCCGAACCATCCCCAGGCCGTTCGTTGGGCAGCCGTACCAAGCTTGCCTGAGTTCGTGGAGAGGGACAAGTTGCTCTTTAGAAAGCGTTACGTTTAGTATTTTGACTACATAGCAACTATCGACTGTCCTCGTGAAATATCGAGGACTTGTTATATCGGCTGTCTGCGCGCTTTGTAGCACCTTAAACAAACAAGCAAGCGCACACGCCCCACTTGCTACATGCACTAACACTGTAGGCAGTTGTAACACACTTAAGTGACCGTCCACAGCAAGCCTTAGTCCAAGGAGAGATACACATAAAGCTTCATATAAACGATGCTCGGCAAGGCTTCCACCCACAAGAAGGGACGGGAAGGGTCAACTGCTTGGCGGGAGTTGAATCCAAAAGCTCTGGCTATTACTGTGCATGACTGGTTTATCGTCATGGCTTGAGCTCCATCGTTGTGAGGAACGCGTTTGTAATACAAAAGTCGATTTCTCGATCCATTTGCCTCCGGCTTCCTTTGTATGCCCCGACGCTATGCCTGGCAGCTGGAGTGCAGCCCCGCCCGCAAACGCCGGCTTTCATACTGCGTTTGCAGCAACGTTGGGATGCATACAGAAAACGCAAGAAGGACGGGCAAGCAGGTAAGACGAACGGTGTTTGGCAGTCGATTTCACCATTGGCGAATGGAAATTGGTGTATCAGCACTCTCTGTGAAGAACGCTAGAGGCTGAGGACACGGAGAATATTGCTATGCATTGGGTGGGGGATTTTGCTGCTCGTTCTCAGGTTAGCGCATTCGCTTGCACCATCCACTTGCCCACGACGTGGAAGCCCAATAATTGAATTAATGCTGTTTTGCAATGCGGTCCAGGGAGTCAAAAAAATCCAGCATTCTTCCCACAACAAGGCAACAACTTCAGTGCGAGATGGAAGAACTGGAGGTAGATCACGTGCTAGAGATACTTGCACAGACAGGTAGAGTTCACAGAAAACTAATTAGTATGTCTCAGTGCCCAGCCGAGAGGATGCATGGTCCCCTCTGCACAGCGATTCCTTACTTGCGTCAAGGCACGTTATCGAGGGTTGCGTGAGTCTTTAGCACCTCTGTGCTAGTTAGTGCATGCAGTAACCGGGGCTTCGTTATGCTTGCATGTGCAGTTGCCATGCAATCTTCCCAGCAAGGCTCGCTGTAGCGCATTTCAGCCCGCCTCCTCTCAGCACCAGCCCGAGCCCCTGGGGCGCTATGCACCCGGATGTAGTGGCATTACAATGAGCCCAAAAAAAGCCTCAGATAGCCACGACTCCCGCAGTGGAGTTGGAGCGGCAGCAGACAATGGATTACATTTTGCGCGAGGGGAAGCGTGCTGTGGAGCAACTAGAAGCTGGTGGCCAGAGCTCAAATGCTGCACGCCGAGCAAAAAAGGTGCTGAAGCTTTTGGAAAAATTTAGAACCCCCCCGGGGGAATCGAGCCCGAAGCACCTGGATGTGGAGGCACGCATCTCGGCATATAGAATTTTTCAGTGTAGACACGCTCTAGAACAGCTGCAGCCGTGGGTAGGGAGCTCGATGCCGATCCCCGACATATTAATCGAACGTGTCCTTAAAGTTCTCTCTTGCACCAGAGGAGTGGGAAAAGCACGACTAAGAGCAGACGCCGCTGCGACTTCCTGGGTGCGTAGGGCGCAAGCCACGCTTAATTCTTTTCTTGTTATGGAGATGCATTACAGAGGTTATTCCGTTGTCCTGAAGGCCTCACTTGAAGAGGAGATGGAAAAACTTAAGCAACGATTCCAAGAGCTCTCAACGTTGCTCCGACATAGCATCGAATCCGCTCGTCCGCAGCTAGAACAGCACCTGGAACAGCAGCGCCAGCAGCTGCAGCAGCGGCAACAGCAGGGCGTACAACACCTCCAACGTGAACAGCATCTTCCGAGCGACCAGCTTTCCGAGGGCATCGCGGTGCTTAGCTCGGCCCTCCAACATCTTGAGCAACACACTACTCTGAGGAGTGGTGCGATGGTACTGCCTCCGCAACCTTCCTGGCCTTATCCTGCCCCTTCCCATGGAACCTGGTCGGCACCGAATCCCTCTCTGCGGAAACCTCCAGTGGTACAATCTACACGCCCTCCTCTTACAGACTCGGTCCAGCATATTCCCGTTGCTTTTCCTGGGCCATGGGATCAA